ATATCAAGGCAGAATTTGATGGGGAAGAAAAAGGAGACAATGCAGATTTGAGCTAAAGCAAAAGGAATAGAAAGAAAGGCAGAGGAGAGACAAGGGATTTAAGGAAGGGACAAATGGAGGCAAACCCCACAGAGGCAGAACAGAAGCCAGGAAAGAGTGGGAGTCAGAAAGCCCAGGGTTTAAATTTTAGCTCCCACAGTTAATTAAGAACATGATTAAATTTCTTAATTTTTGTACACCCTCAGTTTCCTCATCTGGAAATGAAAGTAATCATACCTACTTCACAAAGGTTTTGAGTAATTAAATCACGTATATGTGAATATGTTCAACACAGTACATGGTCCCTAACAGGCATACAATAAGTGCCAAGTTCTCTTTCCTCATTATATTTGTGCATAGCACAAGTGGGAAGGAAAGGAACAGAGTAGGAGAAATAACTGTCAAATCAAGAAAAAGAGTAATAATTAATCCTTGAACTATGATAATGGAAAAGACAAATATTCAGTGAACATAAGGTAATGAATCATTGTACAAAGAAAAGCCCCTGGGAGTGAAAGAATGGAAGCAGGAAGCTGTACAGAAAGGTAGGCAAGAGATCACTGAGCCTTGGACTGAGATAGCAGTGGTACCCATGGTGAGAACTCTTCAAACTTGAAATGTTTTTAACTTGAGTCTTTTGCTGAAGGTCTGGATTTGAAACATGAGGCAAAAACATTAACTCTTTGAACAACTGGCAAATTATGATCATTTCTTAAAATGAGGCATACTGGAGGTGGAGCAGGTTTAGAGGGGGAAATCGGAGAGTTCTGTTTTGGCCTTAAGAGGAGCCCACAAGCACACGTGACACTTAACTATGAGAATGGATGTGATCCCTTAAGAAGGGAGTATTGCCAGGAAGAGAGACTCTTATTACTGCACCCCGAGGAATTCCAGCTTGCAGACTGGAAAGAGAAGAGAGGAGGAACCGGTGAGATAGGAGGAAACCAAGACACTGCCAAGGAAGCCAAGGGAAATGTGTCACAGGCTGCTCAGTGAGGTGAGGTCTAAAATACTTTCACCTGACTTACAAACGTGGAGGTAGTGGGGGACCTTGTTGAGCTCATTTCAGAGAAATGCTTAGGACAAAGCCTGAATTAATATAATAGCAGCCCATCAAGCCCAGAAACCAGTATTGGGATTTCTAGTTTTTTTTTTTTTTTTTTTGAGACAGAGTCTCGCTTGTTGCCCAGGCTAGAGTGAGTGCCGTGGAGTCAGCCTAGCTCACAGCAACCTCAAACTCCTGGGCTCAAGCAATCCTGCTGCCTCAGCCTCCCGAGTAGCTGGGACTACAGGCATGCACCACCATGCCCGGCTAATATATATATATATATATATATATATATATTAGTTGGCCAATTAATTTCTTTCTATTTATAGTAGAGACGGGGTCTTGCTCTTGCTCAGGCTGGTTTCGAACTCCTGACCTGGAGCAATCTGCCCGCCTCGGCCTCCCAGAGTGCTAGGATTATAGGCGTGAGCCACCGCGCCCGGTCGGGATTTCTAGTTTTAATAAAAGGCCACCTAACAGCCAGATCATAAAATTTCCCAGTTCAAAACCTTCCAGTGGACTTCTAGCATTCTCAGAATAAAACCTGAACCCTTTACTTTACCATGACCTCTAAGTTCCCACACGAACTGGCACCTGCTGTCTTACCTCCTTTCAAGTTTAGCCTCACCCAGCCTCTCCAGCCATTCTAGCTTTTTGCTTTTCCTTCCACAAGCCAAGCTCCCTTCTATTCAGAGCCTTTGCACGTGCTCTTCTTTAACCTGCATGGTCCTTTCCCCACTTATGTGCGTGGCCTCCGCTGACTACTGTACATAAAACCGTACCTCCCAACATCCATTAAGTAGTCAGCCTTGCCTGGAGATGTGAACTGTGAAAGGTGAAGAGATCTGTATCAGGTAGGCTAGTTTTCATGTTGCTTTTAGCAAAAAGTGAGTTGGAAAAAGCAGAGACAATCTTCTCAACATAGGCTCACCTGATTACACAGCTACTGATTAACTTATAATGCTATTAGTAGTAAGATTTCAAAGGTTTACAGTAGTGGACCGTTCTCTTTCACCCAAGCTCTCAGAAAACCACCACCAACCACCACAAACAGTAAGATGATAAACTTAGAAAAACTGGGGTTGAGGAAAGGTGAACATGACAGTTTAAGATTTATCATTTTTGTTAAGTTTGTACTCGGTATAATAATTCAACTGTCTTAATCCCCTAGTTATTCCTAGGTGCTGAACTGTTCTTTCATGTCTCCATCATTTAATCCCACCATAAACCATTTTGTCTATCTAGGGACATCTAAATCTGAAGATCACAATGTTTTATCATTATTTTGTTGCACTATAAAGTACTTTCACCTTCTAATCATACTTAAAAACACAGACCATCTGTTTTTTAAAATGAAGGCATACACGCGATTCACTCTATGCCTGCTTCCCAGTGTATCCCAGTGTGGGACGACTTCTAGGAGGACAGTGACACTGGAGATGGAGGAACATGGCTTTGAGAGATATTTAAGAAACAGAACTGTAGGAAATTGAGAATCAACGGTGAAAAGTAAGGGAAAATGAAAAATTAAAGATGATGGGCCAGGTTTAAAGCCAGGTTTTCTGTTGAAAATTTCTTCTCCATGAATTCTTCCCCTTAACAGATTTGGAGAAGGTGGAGACATTACTCCCATAACAGAAAAAAAAAAAAAAAAAAAAAGGAAGAAGGAAAATATAGAGGGCACAAAAATGAAGTTTCTGTTTGACAATTAAAATCTACCAGATCTTCCGTATACAAAATATTTTAAAGAAAAAAAGATCCCACATTTAAATTGGTATCCTACGATTTGGAAATATAAAATCAAGAAGTGATGGAAATGAAAGTTAAATAGGTCTACTTAAATTTTATCGTCCAGATATAATTATCTTGATCATTTCAATATTGAATATTCTGGATGGAATTTTTCCTGTCCTCCTTCCTTCCTAATTGCACATAACATTTTGGTTATTGTAAATTATGTCCAGATTAGCAGAATCAATCATTTTAAGTCTGAGGAAAGAGGGAATGCTAATCTCATCATTCTGACACATTTAAGTAGCCCCGACAATACATGCAATTCTGGTTCCAAGGGCAGGCTTTGTAGAAGTCTAAGATTGTCTCACTGGGGAAGGGCAGGGTTAAGAGTACCATATACAAAATACTCATTTGATTTGAGAGCATTGTTTTCTGATGCCTCAAGGGAAAGTATTGCTGCCACTTTGGTGAAAAAGAATCCCTCTTAGGAAATTCCACCAATTGAACAAAATGAACAATACCATACACTGGATTATGTACATTTTAGTGCTTCCCATTGGATCAGCTCACGGTCGATGTATCTTGAAGCATTATCCCAATTTTAAGGATTTCCCATGCCATACTGTGGATAGTACCCCACAACTTAGTAGAATGTATGGGGGGGGAGGGGCTCAGAGATAAAAAAAGGAGTAGGAATTAAGAAATTATTCCTTTATAAAATTACTCCACCTTAAAATAATAAATAGAATTTGATTTTAACAGAATATAATTATTCTACGAAGTACATTTGTAACCCTTGTAACAGAAAGGCAAAACTGTATCAGGAACAAAAACGTGTTTTGAAGTCAGACAGAATTTGGTTCAGATCCTGGTGCCTTTTAAGTGATCTTAGAAATTTTTAACTTCTTGAAGCCTAAATATCTTCCTTGGCAAAATGAGAAGGATAATACTTACATTATAGGATTGAGGATTAAAAGTGATTTTGTATAAAATACATTACATAACAAAAAGTGATAAAAGAAAACACCATTTCAACTATGATTTTGTTAGACTTTTATTATGAATGTATTTTTTCGAGCCATCGTTTCAGATCTTGCTAAAACTACAAAACTTAACAGCAGTAAATTTTAAAGGAATTGGCTATAGCTTTCATACTATTGACTTTTTTCTTTAAGGAGCACTGTGCGCATAGCATTATATTGATGGCCAAGCAGGAGGCCTCGTTTCAATTTCTCTGATGTAAAAACTATTCTAACTTGTGGGTATTAATCATTTGTGAAGAATATAAAGCAATTTTCTGAAAACCTGTATTTCATAATTCATGGTAAAGGTATAGTTATGTCTTGGTTTTTCAAATAAATACAACTATAATGTAGTAATCCAAAAGTTATTCTGGTATTAAGATACACACTGATTTTTAATCAGAGTACTATCATAATCGTTTTTCATTTAGGTTATTATTTTTGTTTATATTGCAAGTTAAGTGAAACTGTGAAACTGACTAGAATAAAAAAATCAGTAGTCGTCTTGGGTTAAGCATTTGCCACATATCAAAGTGTTTAATCCCAACTTAGCTGCAACATGTTACCAAACCAATAAATATAATGTATTAGGTAAAAGACTAAAAAAAAAAATCTGAATATAATCAAAGATGAATAAATAATTCATTAATATGAACTATACATAAACTTGCAGTTAAAAAATATACCTTTAAAGAATGGAACAAAAAATTACGATCAAAAGCTTCTATTTTTTATGACTTTCTTCTTCAGTAAGTATGTCTTATGTGATAACTTGATATGCTCTAGAAGAGTAAGAAAAAGTCCTTTTATATTTCATGATAGGTTTAATCAGGTAATTCCGGGGTGGGGGAAACCATTAAAACAAATTCTTATGATATCATCTGATATGTCCAATTACATGGGTATGATGTAACAAAAATGGTTACAAATTTATATATGCATATTTACATTATGTACTCAAAACTATCAAGCTAGTTAACTATATCTGAGGAGATACATCATGACATGAGTTAAACAGTTTTTCGTTGCTTATTAGAAAGAATGCAGTCAAGCTTTTAATGGAAATAATATACAAGTGAGGCACTTTTGAGATCAGGAATAGAAAGCAAATGATACTACACATTGGAAATGTTCACAAAAATCTGTGTGTATTTTTCATACAAAGGCTTTTCAACTAGATTATTCTTGAAAATTTTCAAAACAATTTATGCAATTTAAGAAGCTTTCAGGAACAAAGGCTAACATTTATCAGTGTACCAAAGCATATGAAAGTTTTGTAACCACCTGGCTGCTAGGCAAACAGTACCTTAAAGCCCTTTTGTTTTGTTTTTGGTTTATATCAATTACCTCAGGTTGTGTTTCTTTTCTTAAACATTCTTTTTTTTTTTTTAATGTTTGACTCACTGTGAAACACCTTGTGGTGCTATTATTATCATGATTTATAGTCTAATTTTTTTAGTGCAACAATAATCCAAGTTTCTAGTGCTTTCTCTTATATTTAGAAATGTGATCATAGAGATCAAATCAAGAATGAGATTACTTAGTAAAGAATCCGTGTGTTTCAGGTAACTAACGTTTTTTAAGTTTCACGTAGAAAATTGCTACACTTGCTTAATGCACCTTTGGGCTACAACTAAAAACCCAATCTTAAACATATATTTCCAAGTGTAATCACAAAACCTAAAGTAAGTTTCAACAAGAGAAATATCCTTAAAGTTCTTTACATTGCCCATCTAGAAGTACATGTTTCCTGTACTCTGTAGACTTACATGGATATTAAAGAAACATCTCTGTGCCATTCAATTAAGGAGGAGGAGGGAGGAAAAAGAAATAGCCAGACTTACCCAAGATATCAGATGGCACTATACACATGAATTGAAAGTGCATTTGTATTGTTTCAAAAGCTCATTTTAGGCACTGCTGAACAACCAATGAAAATAGGTAGTTTCGAGTCTTTCCCTTTAAATTTCTACCCCCTGCCCCATCATTATCTCAGAAACATACACACACTCTCTCTGAAATTCAAAATGAAATACAGGTGATTATGGTTTTTTTGTTTTTGTTTTTCATTCTCCCTGACTGGCAATGGAAGGAAAAAATAAGAATATCATTTTGGTAATGGCTTTTCAGAGTTAAAGGAACTGGTTCTATAAATGTCTCAGCACATCCATTAAGACTGACTGCCAGTCCCAAACATCAATAAATATTTTAAAACAGGATATGTAAGACAAAAGTGCTTAAAATCTTTCAGTGAGCCAACAAGACACATTAGGGAAAAAGAATCATTTTAAAGTTCCTTTGAAATATTTCTTACTGCTGGTTTCGCTGGTAGGAGGTGGCCACCACTCAAATAGCCCTTTGGTGGTAGTGATGATCCCTGTGAGATCCCTATTGCCATCTCATGTCTCTGGTCTGGAAACCATCCAGTAGGTGGTGCTGAAGCTCCACATCACGTATTTCTTCACAAATCAAAAATTTCCTCTTTTCGAGACAGAAGAAATATCATTACACTAAACAAAATAAGCTAATCAGACCAAAGTTTTTCTTCTTATGCCATCTAGATGATTTCTTCTTCAATATTTACTACTACTCAAGCAGTTTTGTTGAGCCATTTGCTTATACTAAGATTAAAAACAAAGAAAAGTTTTAGAGGAAAAGCCAATTGGCAGGCAATGCCAAATTTGTAGAGAGAATGAGAAAATCTTCCTGAATGTACCTATAACACATGTTTAAAAATCAGAGATTTAAACTATCCATTTGTTTTCAATACGAATTCTAATTCACTGAAGAGAAAATTTCCACACAGGGATTCAGATAACAGTATATCACCAGTTAGTCTTCTAGACTGATTTGGAAACTGGGTGTTTTAACTATAAAGATCCAAGGTGAAATAAAAACCATTTCATCACCATAGTTTTTAATGAAGAAATTTGTTTAAAATTGTAAAGGAAAAAATGGGAATGGGACGGCAAAATCTTAGCAGCAAAGTGGTTAAACAAATTGAAAATATTAATGCACAAACATTAAAATATTAAAGCATATATGTCGCATATAAAATACAGTACAGAACCAGGAGTTGCACTATACTGATTAGTGCTTAACAGAAGAAATGATTAAATTTGTTCTTCCCAGAAGTATATACACAGTTCACTTCCACAGCATTTTCCTATATAGCCAGCAAGTTATTTTCTTCAGTTATTCACACCTTGCTCAAACCTGAATTATAAACTCAGCACTTACAAATATGAAAATTCATTCACAAGGAAAACCAATATTTCCGCTTCACCAATAAAAATTAATTTTGTAAGTTAACAGTCTATTCTAGGAAACCAAGTTTAGCTGAAAACTTCAGGGATGAAGATCATCTGGTATAGCAGCATTCAAATATACAAACAGTAAAAATAAGACTTAAAATTGCTGCTACAATGTCATGTTTTGGATTTAGTTCATCCAATTGATTTTTAGTACAAAACTAGAAATACCCTCTTCTTCATAACATCTATAGTTATCAATATATTTTTCTTCTTTTCAATGTGAAATAATACTTCAAGATGATCTATATACACAATGTTGTCAGTTCAAGCTGTCATATAAATATAAATGCTTTCTTAAAAAAAAAGTATTTTACAGACAGATAGTGTTATATACATTGTTCAGTTTGATCTGGGGCAAAAGAAAAAAGATAACACAGGCTTAAGTGTGATATATAAAAAGAATGATACATAAATGACATTTAAAAACCTGCATAGAAAATGAGCTTCCAATGGTAGTGTGATTTTAATTTTTATCACCTCTGAAACATCAACTTCAAGCCATTAAAAAAAAAAAAAAAAAAAAAGGCACACTTCTCAACTTTATCCCTCTAAGGGAATGTTCTTAAAGAACTCTTTCCTTGGTTAGAGTTTTAATGTAACACTTAAAAAAAAAATGACCTCAAGGTACTTAAAACAGTTTGTTGGAACATTTATCCAACTACTTTGTAAATTAAACATCCAGTAATATAATGCTCTGCAAAAGAAATAAATTTATATGTACAAAATATTTCATTCACAATGTTGGATTAAATACTTTCCTGGGATAGTTTAGCACACATTTTAACATAAAATAATTCTGCTTTTGGCCAGTTTAAATAAAAATAAAATGCAACTGAGAAAAGCTATCATTGTTATGTAAATAATAAGCACTGAGGATTAAGTTAAAAAATTAGTAACATAGCTGAACATATTCTGGGTTAGCAGAATGATAAATGGAGATCTCAAGAGGAAACTTTTACAATAACTATCCAGTTACACTTTTTGCCTTGTAAAACATTTGTAAATGCAGTATGATTTTTTGAAGGAGGAAACTCTGAAAGAAAACAACTTGCTGGTTGAATACCACAAAAAACAAACAACTAAAAAACCTCACTTTTTTCTATGTTTACTCAGTCTCTTTTTATATAAAAATAAGTGTTACGTTCCCATCAGAACATTAGACAATTACATCTGTGCTTTAAAAAAAGTTGGTCACTCAAGGCTATTAGAATATTTTTAAGGACTTTAGATTACCAGAATGTACAGATATAACTCAATATAAATTGTAGCCAAAGAGAAATGAGGATGAAAATATCAAATCATTCACATGGAATAAAAATGTTAACTAGATGAGTTAAATATTCAAAATATATGGAATGTGACAGTAGATAGATGTATATCTACTTCAGAACTAGGAAGGGGAAGAAAGGTTTAATATGTAATAATTCGTACCTTACATTTAGTTAAATATAAACATTTGTTATTTATACATAAAACTGCTTTCAAAAAACAACTAATAAATGATTTAGTTGCATTTGTTTTACTTCTTATAATTCCCAAGTGTTAACTTTTCTTAGACTGAAATCAACTGTCCCCTAGTGCATTTTTATTTTTAGTTCATGTCCTAATAAATTCGAACCTTTAAAAGTCCCATCACCTAATGCATAAATATACAAAAATGCCAAAAAGTTAATCCCTTTTAGTTGGATCATATTTTATCCTGACTTTATATAGCCAATAACCAGAAATGGTTTCCTTCTGCAAATACTACAACCTGTAACAAAACATGCCACGCACTCAAGGGAAAAAGTTAGGCATGGCGAGCATTTGTGAAATGCCAAGAACTGACGAATTCTGCTTCCTCCACGCGTGGCCCCAATGATACCAGGCAAGATTCCATATTGCTTGCCAAAAGCTTCCACAAATCCAAGTTAGCTAATTCCTGGAAACAAAGATTTTAAGCTCATTTTGGCACTGGATCATTTCATCCAGCAGCTTTATGTTTCCCACCACAGCAACCACATGCCTCGCCACAGCAATGGCACATTCTCAAAGGGACGTAGCAGCACATACATGGTACAATGAAAGACAAAGCTACCAGGGCTAACCATCGTAAGCAGAACTTGTCATCACTAGTGTCACATGAACAGGGATCAGAAAAATCTCCCTCTGAGTCTGACATACAATGATACAACATGCTCTCTGCACAGAGCATGCAACTAACTTGATATATGCATCTTTTAATAGGGTCTGGAGCATCCTGACATTTTCCCCTGCCATTTTCTTCATGATTAAACCTCTCCTGGCAGTAAACGCAGCGAGAACGTTCACCGTCCTCTTTTCTTCGTTTTGACTTCTTAAATTTTAATGAGGAAGGTTGTGTCTTAAATACCACAGAGTCTTTGAGTGAACTTAACTTAGTCTCATCCCCACAAGAGTACAGATAGTCTGATTTTTTACTGTCTGGTTTAGGAAAGTGAATATTGGAGTCAGTATCATCTCTCTCCAAGTCATTTTTCCACATGTCAGGATGTCTGTAGTCTGCATAACGCCGTATTAATATATCTCGAGGGTTTATTCTGACAATCTCATCCTCATCTTGAAAGCTGACATGTCTGATTGATTTCAAAGGGACCTATGGAAAGAAATGAAAACTGCAATAAGGATTATGATGGTTAATTTTGTGTGTCACCTTGGTGGGCCACAGTGCCCAGATATTTGTTCAAATATTATTTTGGATGTTTCTGTGATGTGTTTTTTGGATGAGATCAACATTTTAACTGGTGAACTATGGGCAAAGCACAGAAGGAATTCTGCTAGCAGGCTGCATTTGGACTCAGATGGCAACCCTTTCCTGGGTCTTCAGCCAGCATACCTTACAGATTTTGGATTTGTATCTCTACTACCACAGGAGCCAATTCCTTAAAATATTATAAAACTATGTATCTTACCTATCTACATATGCTGTTGGTTCTATTTCCCTGGAGGGCCTTGACAAATATAGATTTTGTTGCCAAGAAGTGGTTTGCCACTATAACAAATATCTAAAAATGTGGAAGTGGCTTAAGAACTGAGTAATGGGTAGAGGCCGAGAGAGTTTTGAGATGCATGTTAGAATAAGCCTTGAGGAGACTGTTGGTAGAAATTTGAACTTTAAAGGTGCCGTGGTATGGTCTCAAGATGGAAATAAGGAATATGTATTGGACACTGGAAGAAAGGCAATCCTTGTTATAAAAAAGTGGTAAAGAACTAGGCTAAATTGTGTTCTGGTGCTTTTTGGAAGGTAGAACTTGTGAATGAACCTGGATATTTAGCAGAGCTTTCTAAGCAAAATGTTGAACTGTAGCCTACTTTCTCATTGCTGCCTACAGTAAAATGTGAGAGGAGAGAGAAAAATTGAACAAGGATTTGTTAAGCAAAAAGGAACCAAACTTAAAGATTTGGAAAATTCTCAGTCTATCCAAATTGCAAAAGATGAGAACGCATGTTCTAGAGCAGTGGTCCCTGATCTTTTTGGCACCAAAGACCAGTTTCACGGAAGACGATTTTTCCATAAATGGGGGTGGGATGAAGGTAGGGGGTGGGGGGGAGGTGAAGCTCAGGCAGTGATCCGAGTGAGCCACAGCCAGCGGCTATAATTACAGATGAGGCTTTGCTCGCTTACCTGCCATTCACCTCCTGCTGTGTGGCCTGGTTTCTAAGTTTCATGGAAGACAATTTTTCCACAGGTGGAAGGGCAGAGAGGCACAGCTCTGCAGCCCAGTTTGTAACAGGCCAGGGACTCCTGGTACTGGTCTGTAGCCCCAGCTCTAGACCTCAGTTCTAGAGAGAACACCTAGGTGTAGCTGGACAATCATACGATAAAGTGAAATGCTGCCAACTTGGACTGAAGGAGACAGAGGAAGGACAAAATGAAGGAAAGGCTGTCAGACTTCTGGAATTCTACATGATGGGCCAAGGAAGCTATGTGGATGTGAACACATGTTATACTGCAGAAAAAAGGGAAGAATGACCTGAAGGCAGGCTGTCTCCTCAGTCCCAAAGAGTGGGGCCAACTCCTCAGTTTCAGTGGGCCAGAGCCTCAGGGGCGATGCTGGCACCTCGGGCTGAGAGGCTGAGGCTACCATGCCAGTGGGCCCAGAGGACAGAGCATTAAGCCAAAGGGGATTATTCGTAATCCTAAAATCTTAAAAAATCCTAACATCTTTTTTAAAGGCTTAAAATCGAATGAAATTTTCTCTGTTAGGTTTTGAAATTGCTTGGGACCCATGACACCTTTCTTCATTTAAATTTTTCACTTTTGAAAGTTTTCCTACCACTGTATTTTATAACCAGTAACTAACTTGTCTGGTTTCATATGTTCACAGCTAGGGAGGAAATTTTGCCTCAAGTTGAATCGTACCCCAAGTCCCACCCAAGCGTGCTTGAGAGATGATATTTGGATGAGATTTGGGATTTAACTGATGATGAAGTAGGGTAAGACTCTGGGGCTGCTGGGATGATGGTGAAATGTATTTTGCATGTGAGAAGGGAAGGAATTTTGCAGCCAGAGGGCAGAACGTTATGGGCTGAATTGGGTCCTCTTCAAATTCATACTGTTGAGGCCTAACCCCTAGTACCTCAGAATGTGACTGTATTTGGAGATAGGGCCCTAAAAGAGATGACTAATGTGGCCCCTAGGGTAGACCTTAATGCAATCTGGCTGGTATCCTTTAGGAGGAAATTTGGACACAGAGAGACACCAGGGACATATGCGCAGGGCAAAGGCCATGTGAGGACACAGTGAGAAGGTGGCCATCTACATGCCAAGTAGAAAGGCCCCAGAAGAATCCAAACCTGCTGATACCCTGGATTTTGAAACTCTAGCCTCCAGAATGTGAGAAAATAAATTTCTGTTCTTAAGCCACCCAATCTGTGGTATTTTGTTATGGGAGCCCTAGCAAATTGATATAAGGACAGATATATTTATAGCTTGGTTATACAGAAAGTCCCTCAAAAATTACTCCTCCACCTCCCCTTTAATCTTTCTGGATAGATTGCCTCCTTGAGACCAAGGAACAAAATTAAGTCTTTTGAAACTTTCCATCATCATAAAGATAGGCTGCTAGTAGGCAAATTTGTATCTCCTAGTTCCAGTCCCTAAACATAGTGACTAGTCTACAAGTAAGCACCTGAACCAGGTTGGGGGCAAACTTCCTTCTATTCCCCAGATATCTGGAATTAGAGCTAAAAAATTCTAGGTCTGGGCTAAAAGCAGGATGATAGATGCAGTCATTTAAATTAACAATGTACAATTCCTTTTGGTTCTATGTGGTAAAAAATACAGCTGTCCAACCCCTCAGATTCAAATGAGAAGTTTGGATGGAGTTTAAGTAACAGGGTTTATAAACAAATATGCAGAACATTTTTATAATGAAAATTTTTCTAGTATATAATTCAACTATATGGAGAATTAGAAGGACTAGAAAATTTCACCTATATACTAAATCAGAAGATAAACTAACATTACTTACCCTATTTTGGGACTTTAGGCTTCCACATTCCTTGGATATTTGCCGCTGTACATATTCCATATTTCTGCTCTGAGTATCTAGTCCTGGCTGACTGAATGTTATCTAAAATACAAACAATTTCTTACTTTCAGTGAAACCATATACAGTGGACATTCCAAAACTTCATAACCTCTTGGTAGTGAAGTTTTTCAAAATGGTTTTGATAAAAAGCATTGAATCATCCCCCCACCTTAAAAAAAAGAGAGAATAATATAATGAATCCTCACATGTTTATCATCTAGCTTCAATATTTTGACAATCTTGTTTTCTTCTTGATTATTTTTCTGGAGCATTTTGATCCAAATCTCACTGTTACAACTTAATAAAATAAAACCATAACCTTGAACATAAAAAGTAATATATGTACATGGCAAAAATTTAACTGTACAAAAGCACAGAAAGTAAAAATCTTCATCTCAGAACTTCAGTCCCAGTCCTACAAGTTAACTATCATTAAAAAATTTTAGGCTGGGTGTGGTGGCTCATGCCTGTAATCCTAGCACTTTGAGAGACCAAAGCAGGAGGACTGCATGAAGTCAGGAATTGGAGATCAGCCTAAGCAAAAGCAAGGCCCCATCTCTACAACAAATAGAAAAAATTAGCTGGGCATGGTGGCACCCATCACTTTCAGATGCTTAGGTGGGAGGATTGCTTGAGGCCTGGAGTTTGGAACCAGCCTGGGCAACAGAAGACCCCCTTTCTACAAAATATTTTAAAAAGAGCTGGGCATGGTGGTGTGTGCACCCGTAGTCTCAGCTACTCGAATGGATGAGGCAGGAAGATCACTTGAGGAACTCAGGAGTTCGAGGTTACAGTGAGCTATGATCATACTACTGCATTCCAGCCTGGGTGACAGTGAGACCCCGTATCTTAAAAAAAAAACAAAACTTACATACACACACAAAAGTAAATATGTGGATCTTTAAAATGGGATGCTTTGTACTGTACCCTTGTTTTTGTACTTAATGATACATTATGGATAGTTTTCTATGCTAATAGGTAGAATATGTAAGAATTCAGAAATTAATAGGGGAATAAGAATTCAGAAATTAATAGGGGAATAAATCCTTATGGATTAAATGGTCTGAGAAGGCTTCAAAAAGGAAGGGACACCTCACATAAACACAGAATGAGAGCTAAGTATTTGGCTAAGTAAAAGGAAAACATCCCAAAACAAACAAACAAACAAACAAACCCCAGAACAGCATTATGGAAAAGTAGAGAGAAAAAATTTTTTTCCTGATAGAGTACAATAACCTCATTTATTATCCCAATTTTACTGCCCCCCCAAAAAAGACATATACTACTTAAATGCATACACACTTTGGAAAACTACCTGAGTCAATAGTCTATAAATATTAGTTTTCTCACACAATCCCTAAGTAAAAAGACAAATGGACAATGTTTATCTTTTTGTACTTACTAAACACAGAGGTTATACACCCAAATTAATTACCACTTTTTAACACTCTGGGAATTTGGTACTATTGTTATAGTCTTTAGGAGAATTTATCAGCTGAAGATGTTTCTTAAAAGTTGGTCACAAATTAAATTTTAAAAGGATTCCACTTATGACGATACACAAAATGGTAGAAAGGAATAATCCTATAAAGGATTTTTCAGCAAGAAAATGTGATGTTTCATTGAGAAATATAGAAAAAGAGCTACATAAAGAGATATATTATATTCATGAATAAGACTAAATTATCCTCCAAACTAATAAATAGATTCAGTGCAATTCAAAGATAAACCATAAAAGAATTTTTCATCAAACAGCGCCCCGCCATCCAAAAAAAAAAAAAAAAAGACCCAAGAGGAAAAACAAAGTTAGGACACTTGCTCTTACAGATATTAAGACTTGTTATGGAGCTACAGTGATTCTAATGTAAAGAAGACAATATCCCACTGGTGCAAGGATAGACAAATAAACCAAGAGAGCAGAAGAGGGACCAGAAATAGACCCAAACATATAGAGAGGAGTTTGTAAAAACAATACAAGGAGAAGAATGATAAATTTAATTGCAATAAAATTTAGAATGTCTGTTCACCAAAATATCAGAGTAAAAAACAATCACAAACTAGGAGATGCTGGCCACAAATAAAACTCAAAAAGGATGTGTACCTAGAATACACTGAGAAGTGACACTGAAAATTATATTACTCAGTAACAAGGTAATCTAGGAGTATGTAGTTTAAAACAATTTGTAAAGGAAAAACCACAATTATTTCTATTGTCCTCAAATTTTCAATACACATCCCTTGGTCACACGGCATACATCAATCCTATAGTCTAATTCGTCCAAGAGCCTTCATGTAGCACATCAACATCAAGAGCCCACCCTTACCCTAAGGAAACTCTTGTGTGTGAATAAATGGGGACAGACAGTTTGTACTGGCAGTATGCCTAATAATGACAAAAACCTACAAACAACTGAAACACCCACTGGCAGAATAAAAAGAAATAAGTAGTAAACTATCAAGAAAAGCATGAGAATGCTAAGCAAATAAAATGCAAGGTAATAGTTACCTCTAGGATGAAGGTAAAGGGATAGATAAGGGGTATATATTTTTTTAAGTTTTTGGTGGTTTCTTAAGTGTTCAGTGCATATATTCCTTTCTATGTATTAAATATGCCATAAATCTTTGATCATGAGCTCAATGAAACATGTTGCCTTATTTGTTTATAGTGAAATGACCTCCAGGAACTTGAAAGTAAGAGAAATCGAGAATAAGAGCTAGCACATGGAGACATTAAACTGAGTCAAAGACAAACACTGACCAATGCCTGTTAAACATTACAGGAGAGAAAAACCTAAACTAGCATTTAAGTGGAAATTCTCTATGAGTGTCTCATGTCTGCAGATATAGTCAACACAAGCACTGTATTTTGTTTCAGACTATCTTTTCTTTTCAAGGATGTTTGTATATAGGATGTCATGGTCTATATGTTTGTTGTCTTACTCTGCATCTGATTCATTATAAATTCTACTCCCCTGGTTTTACTTTTTATGTTGTTATTTATTTTGCCTGGTGAAGGGCAGATAGTTTTAATGACCTTGTTTAACACATCATCCAATTTCTACAGACACAAATAACATGATGAAAAATACTCTCACCTGATTAGCTTGGCTTTGCATGTAGACTCTTCTGGGATTCAGATCTTCAAAGGGAGAAAGTCTTACATTTGAGCTTCTATAAGGCTCACTGGTAACAACCGTCTCTTGCTGGAAAAGGTGATCCTTCACTAGAGAACTGGAAGTATCCTCTTCGGTTGCCTAATGGGAACAAACCTCAACTCATTAGTTGCCAGAATAAAAACAATAGGCTTTCTTAATGAAAACATCTTGAAGAACTGAAAAGCTAACCATGCCATACCAAACAGATATCTAGTAACCTTTTAACTATAACAAAAGTAATGCATGTACATAGAAAATGAAGACATTATTAGGAAGAAAATATCAATCAGTAACTCCAATTTTGCAAGTTAAAAAAAAAAGTATATACCAAGAACAACGTTGTTGATAGTGGATTGAAAGAAGGAAAATAATAGTAGCCTATACATTTGTTGAATAAGTGAATGAATAAATTATTCTAAACTTGCCCATTACTGAGAAGGATTTAAATTATGTACAAGAAACTTAGGTACATAATCAATGACAGTCACTAAAGGTATGCTTTTAAAATGCCATAAACAATAATTTCTATGAAATAAATGTCAAGAAAATGAAATTTAGCATACTACAAAACAGAAAGTCTTGGAAGGGTTTCATTTCATTTAGTTTTATAAAGAAATAGAATAACTATTTGCTATTTCTTTGCCCATTTTTATACATTTACTTGAGAAGAAATGTTGACAGCCAAGTAAAAATGGCTAAAATACTTTCACTGTCTTATTTTAAAATAATTCAGAGTAATCACTATAGGGCTAACGAGTTTAGATCTTTATAAGTTTTCTTTTATTTAATTAAAAAAAGATCTAAAAACTTTTGTTGGTGCTACTTCTAAAATGAACCAATAAAATTTGTAATTCATAAAATGACTAAGATATTTTAAATTTATAAATGCAAGTTCTAGTTCTTGCTCTGGAACAAAAAATAGCCTTTGACATTTAATTTCTAGCATTCAGTTTTCTCAATTACAAAATAATTATAATACTTATGCTGTTTTATGACACTGGATTGTCATAAGAATCTAGTGAGATAATAATATAAGTGAATACATTCTGAAAACGAAAAGCTGTTATTGTATCAGGAGTAGAGAAACTTTTAAAAGGAATGAGAATCTACTGTCACTTAAAGCTAACTATGTCAAAACCAATCATTATTTTTACCTAATTTTGATAACAGTTGTCCCAATGTGTTGTGACAGTTAATGCTAAATTACTGGAAGGGAGTTGGCTAAACACTGGTATCCAGCAAATATTCTTTCAAAATAAATAATCAAAATTGGGAGGAGTAAAAAAATTCAAGAAATATATTTACCTGTTCCAGATATTTTTTTAAAAATAAATGACTCAAGTAATTGTCAGAAATCAGAAGTAAACTGAATAGAAGAAAACATTAGGGGGAAAAAAGGGTTGAGAGAAATGGTCTAAGTTAGAATTTTGTCTCATCCAATTAGGAAATAAAACGTAGGAAATTCATTTCTCTGAATCACAGTTCTTAATTACAAATTGGATATAATATCTGTATCAACAATCTTGGAGTTAATTGGGATACTCAAGAGATTAAAAACTATAAACAAGCATGAATTATATAGTAGTATCAGTGGTAATTATAAAGTAATTATGATTTTAATTGTGACAATGTTTTTGAATTGGATTGTCTTTTACCAAATTACAATCTAATTGAGAAGTCATTTAAGAGTTATAAATTAAAATAAAGCTTACTTTGAAAAAAATCTGTATCTGAACAAACCCAATTTTTATGTAACAGACTTAGGTTGCTTTACTTATATTCTGTAAAATTAAACAATAACATATTTATATTGATTAATAATAAATGCATTTACTTATTTTTAAAGGTAGATATCCAAAGTATATGTTGTTTCATTATTGAATAAAAATGTGTGTAATATATGGGTAACAAATGATTTTAAAATGTTTATCAAAATAGCTTGAATTAACCTATTAGCTAGGAATGGTTCATAGCAAACAGTGAATTTACAACTACACACCTAAATGGGTCCCAGATAATAAAATTACTGAAGCATCATTCAAAGGTCTGATATGGCAAACAAAACAAAACAAAACACTAAAAATGCAAAGTATACATCTGCAATAAGGCACATGTTATTCACGAATTGTGAAAACTAACATTTTAGAGAATCCCAAACTAGAAAAATGCATTTTTCTACTATTTAATTATATGTCTTTCAGCAAAGTTAAAAATTTAGATACATTAGATTGACAAGAGTTTTTTAAAAAGTAGTGATAAAGTAAACGGGCATGTTCATTCATTGCTAATTCTACACACACAGGAATATGGACCAACCATTTCTGAAAAGCAATTTTAATAAAATTTATCAAAAGCTTTTAAAACTTTCACACATTTTGATCACTTCTTGAATTTATCAAAGAAAAAAGTACTAAAATGGAAGATGCTTTAGGCACAGAATGTTTTTCTAAAAATATTGTTTTTAGTAGTAAAAAGGAAGAAATGACCCAAATGTGCCATAATAAGGGAACAGGTAAGTATATTATCATATGCTTACTAAATGGAATATCGTGTGGTCATCTGAAATCAGGTTTGTGAATCATATCAACTATGTGGGAACTGTTTAGTGTTAAAAAGTCAGTATACAAAATTATATTTACAGTATTATCATAGTCATAAAAAGATAAAAGGTTGGAAGAAAATAAAATGAGTTAACATTCCTTCTTATGGTATGAATAATTTTCCAATTTTTAAGCTTATTTACTTATAAATGATCAATTTATTTTAAAATCTAATTACCATATATATTAATACTTTACCCCTTACTTTTGATATATTACAGAATCATAATGTATTATGTTAAATTTTGTTGGAGGTGTAACTCTTAACAAGACTAAACATTTATTTTTTTTCAACTAATTCATATGTCCATGAATGAATATAATTATTGCTAGAATGATACAAGTTTAGCAACAATTCTATTCCTATTTTTTTGGCTTTTTGTCTTTAAGAGATGGGGTCTCATTATGTTGCCCAGGCTGTCCTTAAGCTCCTGGCTTCAAGTGATCCTCCTGTCTTAGGATCTGGAGTAGCTGGGACTAGCGACATGCTCCACCCAAATCATATTTTAAAACACAATACAGTCACTTTTTAGCTTAAATACTTTTTTCCTCTTCGTCTGAAATAATGAACTGAGACATACTACACCCTTGCCCAAACCCCTCTGGACTCATGCAGAGTATCTCCTTATGTCAATAAAATAATTTTCCAAACAAGCTAATCTTCTGAGTTTTTCAAATTAATTTCCTCTTCTCAATACCCACTATTCACTGTTGCAATGCAAACCCTCATTATCTTTTTTTGCCTGCCTTATTTCAGTAAGTTTCTAAGTGATCTCCTTGTTTCCAGTCTTTATCCCCTCATTCCTCATGCAAATCTGTTGTTTATTCTATTTTAAACCCTTCTAAGGTTTCCAATTACCAAAGCTTTGTTGGGAGACTGGGCACATACTGAAGAGGACAGGAAAAAGAGTCAGTATTGCCTAAAGAACCCCTGCATAAGATACATAATTTACACAGTCCATAGGAATGAGCCCTCTCTACTCTGGAACCACAAACTTACAAGATAAAGCTAAATTTTATTTCATAAGAAAAAGAAATGGGCAATTAAATATATAAAAATACACTGAACTTCATTCAATGAAAGGCATGTCAAATATCATGCCATTATTACATAATAACTAGGAAAGATGTAAAAAAATAGGTAATTAATACTCAATGTTAACAAGGGTGTGAAGAAACAGAAATAATTTTTGCACTGTTGGTAAGAATGCAATGTGACAATGCCTTAGAAAAAAAATCCATACCTTTGTACCTAGCATTTCTACTTTGACAAACTGACTATATATAGAGACAGACACACACACTCTCACTCACTCATAGTAGCACTATTTTTAACAAAAAAAGAGAAAACAGGAAAAAAAAGTATCACTCCGTCAGTAGAGGGATTGATTTAAAAATCATGAAATATCACATATGGTAGCATTCTATGCAGCTATTAAAAAGATGTTTATAGTACTCACAAGATATTAAGTGAAAATAGCTGGGTACAGAATAGTCAGGCATGATCACTCAGGCGTCCTCAAACTATGGCCCGCTGGCCACATGCTGGTGGTGTTTTTGCCTGTTTTTTTACTTCAAAATAAGATATGTGCAGTGTGCATAGGAATTTGTTCATAGTTTTTTTAAAACTATAGTCCAGCCCTCCCATGGTCTGAGGGACAGTGAACTAGCCCCCTGTTTAAAAAGCTTGAGGACTCCTGGAGGATGAATAGATTTTAAATTTATATTTTTAAAATACCAGGAAGTATACACACCAAACCACTGATATAGTTCTAGGGAGTTGAGGCTAGAATCAAGGGACTCATGGGTTTTCTAAAGAAATATTTTATATATAAAGGTCTATATATGTAATGACACAAAGAATAAAACAAATGTGTGCACCTGTCACTCAACTTAAGAAAAGTGAACATAACCAATACAACTAATAACTGTTTCTCCATATTATCATCCACTACCATCTAGATGTCCAGCAAGTAAACACTATCCTGAAGTCATTTTTTTCCACCTTCTTAGTCTTCTTTAGTTTTGCCACAAGTATCATTCCTAAATAATATTTAGCTACACAGCTTTTTTTTTTTTACTAATAACATGGTACATGGGATAGATTTGTTTTTGTTCAGTTTTTTTCACTGAAGTTCATTCATGTTGATATGTATAGCAATATTTCAGTCATTTTCACCTGTGTAGCAATGGTAGCTAAAATATATTGAACATCTTCTATGTATCAGGTATCGTCCCAAACACTTTGCATGGGTTAACTCATTTAATTCCCACAGTACTACCTACTTTGAGGTAGATGGTACTATTATCTTTCTACTCCATATGAACAACTAAAGTTCAGAGGGATTAAGTAACTTGCCTAAAATAAAAGTTACTTAGTGGAAAAGCTAGGATAAAACACTACAATTTATCCATCTATTCTCTATGGATGATTGGGTCGTTCTAACTTCTTGCTATTTCAAAAAATGTTGCTATGAACAATATTGTATAGGCCTCATG